CTCTGCGAGGCGGAGAGCTGTCCGGCGGGGAGGTGGGAGCTGGGGGGGCGTCGTCTGCCTCGCCGCGCGCCTCGCTGCCGAGAGGTGCTGAAAGCGTTCGCACGTGTGCGCGCTTGCTGAAATATGTGCCAGGAACAGGGGGTATGCGTCCCCGCGGCTGCAGAGGCTGCGGAAAGCCTGTGACGAGGAGCTGAAATAGCTGGCGCCGAGCAGCAAGAGCAGTTCCACGCCGGCGGGCGTTTGCCGTGAGGAGCGGGAGGCTGGCGAACGCTGGTCCGGTAACAGTAAAGGAAGAAGAACATGCATTATATTTGCAAGTAAAGCTCTTAGTGCAAGGTGAGCCCTACCATATCAAATAGCTGTGGTCTTGCTTCAGAGCAGGGGGGAGCTCTGAAGTCCCCTTCCCTTCGTGTCACTCAAGAGTCGGCTTGGACTCTGCGCGATGCCTTGCTGGGAAGCAGCTGCTGCTATCGCTCCTCGGCAAAGGGACTCTCACAGGCAAAGAGTAACAGCAGCGCGTCAAAGGCGACAGGCCTGTGGGTTGTCACTGTCCTTTCGCCCGTACAAAGATGTCATGAAATCAAGTCTGTGCAAAGCAATTGCCCTCTCTTGCCGGCGCAATTAGCGTGCATTGTCCGTTCGCCTCCAAAGTTCAAGTGTGAGGGCTGCAGCTCTGCAGAGCGGCCGCTCGAGAGCAGATGCGCTTCCTCCAGCCCCGCCTCGTGCCTTCTCTGCTCCCTCCTTGAAGCAAAACTGCAGAGAACCGCGACGACAATTTTGTTTCTTTTCCTGCCCTGAAAGGCTCCTGTATCTGACCACAGCGGAAAGTCTCTCTGCTCCCGTAGTCTTCCCGCAGAGGCGGTTCATGGTGGTTCCTCTAAGGGGACGGCATCTCCGTGACGGATGGAGAGTGCGGAAACTGCGACAAGCCGGCAACAAAGCCTCTGGTGGATCGCCGGGTGTTCAGTCAACCCGCTTCACGCATTCCCCAACCTCGACTGGTTCTTTAACCACCGAATTCCTTTTAGGGAGAGGTAACTGACGGATGAGTTTTGATGCTCAAATGCCACAAAGTTGTGGATTGATTACCGTGCCGTTCGTACCTCAAGCACTGGAACACATACTTTGTTTATCTGCGTGGTTTACTTCCTTTGACTCGACGGGTTAAGACAAATTTGGTTTAACTTTTTGGATTTGCAGAATGCAGGTACCGTGAAAATTACTCTTTCTTGGAAAGCGCTTGTGCCAGCATCCTGTAGACTGAATTGGCAGTGCCGCTGCTCAAGATGTAATACCTGTGGCTCGTGTTTGGTTAGAAATTGAGGAATCGTGCTCCCGAGCACGTATTTTTAATCCTTCCGTCTTTTCTCCCCGATGCTTCGCTCTGTCCTGGTGTGCTACAAGCGGAGAAAGAATTGATTTTAAATGTGACCACTGTATATGAGCCAAGGTCCCTGGGCTGTGTCCAGCTGTGAGGAACTTGTTTGAAACACAATTTACTCGCCTGAGTCTCTCTTTGCAGTCTTCAAAGCAGAGCCTGCCGTGCTCTGAGGCAGAAAGACAAGTGCGAAAATGAACGCGGGTAGGTTCCAGCCAGAGCTGTTCCTCGCGCACCGCGTCCCTCCACCTGAGCCCCCCTCGCAGCGAGCGCCAAACCCGACGTTGTTTTTCACATCGCGCAGAGAGATTCAGCAAACGAGGCCAGAGAGCTGCTGTGGGTAATAGAGGAAACAGGCGTCGCATTTTTTCCTTTCCCTTTACATCGCAGATACCTATTTCAGCTGCCGTGCTTGCCCACGAGCGTCGTTTTTTCGTCGTGCGCGTTCGGCAGTCGACCCAGAAGCTGGCCCTCGGGCCGGGTCCTGTCATCGTGCCTGTGCCTCCCTGAGCAGGAACGGCTTGTTTTCGACGGTGATCAAGACTCCAGGCCAGGTCTTGGTTTTCAGGAGTGGCTTTGCTTTCCTTCTCTGTCTCTGTGGTTCTGTGTTGGGTCCAGAAACGCCGTTTCCCCACTCCCCCAGTCTTTCTCTTGTTGTCACACCACGTTGCAGTGCTGCAAATGTGGCTGCTTTAATTCTCTTCAAAACTCTTCTCTACCGCCCCTAAATATTTACCAAGAAACTTCTTCAGCGTTGACACGATGGTGGGTCTGAAGAGCTCCCCCTTCGCGTTGCGGGTTTGTTTGATGTGGAGTTTGCAAGTGATGCTGTTCCCGGAAATACCTTTGGGACGTGGGTGAGCGGGAGCCGCCCGAGCGCGGCCACGCAAAGCGTTAACTTGCCCGCCCTGGGGCTTTCGGCTGAGCGAGCAGAGCCAGGGCAGCAGCGCGAGAGGAGCTTTGCAGACAAGGGCCGGATTAGACGCCCTTTGGTTTGGAATAAACGCGCGGGCTGGAGGCGCCGGCTGCGGATCCGGCGTGTCCTTAGGTGCACCCTGCCTGTCGCTCGCCCTGCGCCCTCGGGGAGAACAAATGCCTTCTCGAGAGGGATCCTGCTGCCAGCCTGGACCGAGGCGCTGGACTTCTGAAGCCATCAGTCAGTGGGCTTAATGTACCAGCATCCCGGCATGAAAAGCTTCAGTGGCTTGAACTTCAAATAATTTATTTCTAAATTACTTCTACTGTAATTCTTATTAATTCAAATAGGCTTCTAAGCTGATGTAAAATTCAGTAAACGCAAGGAACAGTTTAATGAATTGAAAATAGGATTGGGTCTTTTAAAGTAAATGTAAAAAAATATGCTAGCAATAATTGCTTAGATGGAAATCGAATCTTAATAGCTTTGTTAATGATTTGTAGTGAATATTGCGTTTATGAGAGAACATATCGCGCTGATCCTTGTGCAAGAACCTTGTTTTGAATGGCTTTGATAAAATTATTCCCCAGAAGCGGTTAGCAACATTTAATGTTTTTGCTTGCCCTGTTTTTGAGCTACTCAAACGCCGTCGACACCAGAGCCCGACCGTGGCTGTCGGGGATGGATCTGCGCCGCTGTCACGTGTCGCAGACGTGGGTTGTCCTGCCCCGAAAGCCCCTGCCCCGGGTCTGCAGTCTTGCACCACGTGACTGATAACGACGTCTCGTGTCGCTGTTTAAGGAGAAGCCCGGACTTGAGCTCGGTGCCATCAGGCCTGGAAAGGCATCGGATGATTTATCCACCTCGTTCTTTCCAAACGGTGCAAACTTTTTGCCAAGTGTTTGTTTCCAAGGCGTCTCAAGTAAAAATGCAGGTCAGAAAGAAGGAAGGAAAACTGGAGAGAAGGCAGGGTGCGAGAAGAGCGAGAATATAAATCCAATGCCCAGGTTTACCATTTTCTGACTTTATCAAGATTTTGCGTTTTGGCGTTTCTTGTGGCTCCCCCCGGAGCCGGACCGACCTCACTGCTCGCTGCACGCAGGCAGCTCTTAATGAGCAGAGGTCTCCTCCGGGCCACCCAGCCCTTGGCTCAGTGCCACCCACCCTCGCTTCGTTTGGCTAATTGGCAATCAAAGTTTCGAGATCTCTCCCTGTTTGGTCGGCCTCCTGGTCCCCGAGGCCGCTGCGGGTGGGAGGTGGCATGGGGCCGTTGCCGGAGGGGGCTGCGGTTAGCGCTGTGCTGGCGGGAGCCCCCCAGGATGGCCCCGCTCCTGCCTCGGCCCCGTGCTCCTCAGGCTCCTTTGCCGTCCCGACGGGATTCCCGGTGCTTCTGGGAGAAGGGAAGCTCGGAGCACTTCTCTCCGCGTCCCGTCCTCCACGTCCTTTAACACAAGGCACATTTCCCAGCGTGCGTGTGATGCGACGATCGGATTCATTAGGAGGAGAGTTTTCGAGGTGATGACCTGTAAATGATTACAAGGCTCCCGCAGCATAATTGCATCGAATTCTTTTTTCCCCGCCTCTGGACATGAATAGTGCCCACTGATTACACAGAGTCAGCAACAACAGTTCCCTAAAGCCTGCCTGCTCCAGTCCCAGGATAAGTGCTTCTCATAGCGAATTGTTCTTTCAAGGTAATTTAGCAAAATGCGTCTGTGAGAGAGGAAGCGAGCTTGTGCCATGTCCAGGCGTGCGGCGCAGAGCTCACTCCCACCAGCCTTAAAGCCTGGAGGGACCTGTGGGGCCAGGGGTGTCTTCCATCGTCCTCTGCCTTTGGTCGTGCTTTAAAACACCGCAGAGAGAATGTGCTGGGGTTAAACAGCTTCTGTGCAATCAAAGGCGCGCTCCTCAGTGGGGCTGTTCCACAAACAGCCGTTCTCCGGTCCTTCCTCCTCTGTTACCGTGGTAGGGCTCCCTTTCAGGTTACTCCTCCGTAATGGAGCGGTGGCCGGCACAGTTTGAGAGGGAAGAACTGAATTTGTGGTCCCTGGCATTGCTGGTTTGAGTATTTGTCATGCAGGTGATTGCATCCACAGAGACATCAATACCCGCTCCAGGCAAACCCAACCGCAGCTGTGAGAGCAACATTTGCTTAGTTATAGGGGGTGCAAGGGTGAGGATCCCGGTTCTGAGTCCCCGGGAGGAGCCCGAGTCAGCGACTCACCGGCCGATGTTCTCCTGCAGAAAACACGTGTTTGCCCTCAGCGAGACTGGCTGGTTGCAGTCCGAGGTCTCTTTGGGTTGTGCTGCCAGGCAGTTTTGCAGGAGCCCCGGTGCAGCGTCTCATTTCCAAAAGAAACTTGCTGGCGTCGTTCCCGATTTGGCTCCTTCATGTCTGCTCTCTCTTCCAGGTGATGCGCAGAACCTGGTGACAGAAGACGTGACGGTGGTGGAGGGAGACGTCGCCACCATCAGCTGCCGTGTCAAGAACAGCGATGACTCGGTGATCCAGCTCCTGAATCCCAACAGACAAACAATTTATTTCAGAGATTTCAGACGTAAGTTCCACCTTCCCTTGTGGGACAGCAGCTTTTGCTGCACCATGCTCAGGAGAAGGCGCTTGTGGAGCTCCCTCCTTGTAATGCAATGCCAGACGCTGAGAGCGTAGTCACTTCTTCAGAGGGTGGATGAGACAGGCAATCATAATCTTGCTCCTTAATGGGAACCTTGATGGTCCCCTTTAAAAGTCAGGCCGCCTTACTTTGCGATAGGAATTGATTGTAGTCATTCAGGGCGAATTGCAATCAAGTGCCAAATATTTAGCTGGCCCAAACAAATTGGATAGGGCAACGCCGAGACAGCGCGACGTTCTCCGAGGCAATCTCTTTGCTTTGAGGACTGCAGCTTTCCAGGGAGTCGGTGGCTGC